AAGAGTAGGAGGCTTCAAAAATAACCTACTCTAGCAAAGGAGTGCTTTTATTCCTTAGTTAAATTTCATCACAGATTCTAGGACAGATTCTGAGACACTTGGTAAACATAGGCTCACTGCTAACTAATTAGCTCCTTTGCTCTACCCACTCTATGACTGATGCTTCACATGCCCATGCCAATCTCCTCAATCTTCCACCCACTGGAGTTCTTTCCAAATTTGTATACCAGCCTCCGGCCATCAACTCGCTCCAGGATCTCCCTCTTATAGTAATACCTGAGGGTGAAGAAGTGTCAGTTAGTCCAGGTTTAAGACCAAAAGAATGGAGTCCCCTTTATCACCTGCCATTATTCGCTGAAAAGTGTATTCCAGTCTGCCTCTTGAACATCTAATAATAATGATTCAGGAAGACACAATGGAAAGCTGATGAAGCAGCTGGAGTTACTAACTACTAAATAAACTCACCTCATGGCCCGACTAAGTTTCTCGTATGTCATGCTGCTGTTCTTCTTCTTCTGGCCCCACATCTGGGCCACAGCCTCGGACTTTAAGAACTTAAAGACACCCTCGTGCCGGTCCTCCCACTTCATAAGGCCCTGGTTCCTCTCTGGGTTGATCAGAATGTCCCTTATGAACTCCCATAGGTGAGTGCCACGAGGTGCTACAGGCAAACAGTGGGGTACAGTGAGCTAACTGTGTGTTTGTGTGTGAATGAATACACAAGCATAAGCATGCAAGTCAAACAGATATGCATCTGCAGTCTGATAAAGATGTAAAATAGATGCAAAGTAGAATTTGTAAAACAGCTAAGCAGTGTTCGAGTACAGCTGTCGTTTTGATCAGTGTTTTACATCATGAATGCTGATTCTTAAAACATGGCCTCACCGTGTTTGTTTTTCTTTGGACTGTGATAAATGTTGCAGCTGTGCTGTCTGCTGAGTTTGGGAGGTCGCCCCCGTGGGCGCTTCACTCGAGAGTCTCCTTTCTCAGTTTTGATGTGCACCTCTGTCAGCACAACAGTAAATTATTTAATGTTTCATTAAGCTCATTTACATTGCTGAAACTGTGGAATACAAACAAATTTTCAAACAGATTTTCTGCTTACTCACTTGAAATTAGAGGGTAGGAGAACTCTGGGTCAGACTCCCCACTACCAGACTCTGGTGAGCCCATGCTTGAAAAGACAAACCTGCTACCTGAACAGATGAGAAATTTGTTTCAGATATACAACGTTCTAGAGACACTGAGAAGCAGAAGAGTTGTGTGAGGTAATGGTAAAAATAAGAAAGATAAGAATGAAATACTGACAGTTTGATGAAGAGCTGTATTCGCTGTCAGACTCAGTGTCTCCTGTGGGCTCAGTGGTCAAACTGGTCAGATAATAATCATCCTTGTAGTCAAACTCCTTCTTGCGATCAGTTTCTTCAGCTGTTGGTAGTAAATTGAAGCATTAACCCTAAGATTCTCTCACATATCAGTGCTATGCTAGTATGTAACATCTCTTTAAAATATGTACCTGGGCCAAATCTAAGGGTGCTGAGTAAAGGGAGACTGTTCAGGAAGTTGTCCAGAACCTGCCAGGTCTCATTCAGCTCCAGTCCTGAGAGGCTCTGTAGCTCTGTACACATTGAGATTAAATATGATAAAAACAAATGGGAAAAAAAAAGTTTTCCTTTCAGCACAGGATATGCATTGAGCTACATTGCTGGCCTCTTGGAACACAACCCAAATCTCTGGTTTTTGACTGGGTAATTTAGAAATGTATTCACGTAAACCAGGCAGTGGTTACTTATAGGTGAAAATGGATCTGAATTTGATCATAATAAAGGGCAGTTTTATTTTGGTGTGCTGTGAATTTTGGCACACAGTGCTTTAAATATTTGCACCTGAATATTGGCATCTGACCTTTAAATGCAATTCAGTGCAGCACTTCCGCCTTAACACCTGTGTTTATGAAGTTCAAAATGTCATGTTTTGGTGAAATTTTTGCAAATGTGCAAATTAAATTATATAAATTATATATTTATTATTGAGGTCATAGTTAAAATAGTTTAAAGTGGTGTTGTACTGCATTACATTATATTTATTTGCATTGAATTGCATACAATTGTACAGGTATACCTAATAAATTGGCCAGTGAGTATATAGTTGAAGACTGCATTCTTCATTGAAACTCGAGCCTATGTAGACAAAAAAAAGGCCAACTGACCTAGATTGTATCTACAAGCGATAGACTTTTTCAAGAGGTAGCCAAAGTTAAGAGGCCTATTTAGTTCATCAGTATGAAGGACACTTCACCAGAAAATAATTTTGATTACAAACATCATCTTAAGAAAGGGCAACATATATGATCAGGAATTATGTTTTCTTTCTTTTGATGTATTCTTTTTAAAAGACATAAATGATGTTCATATAGCTAGTCTCTACGGTAAACATAAAACGCATTCTATCTTTATATATTTTTATTCAATTAAAATAAACATTACTAATCTTTCCATTCAAACAATGAAAAGTAATTACTGGAAACTTAACAGTTCATTATTAAAAAGATAAATACTTTACACAAGAAATCAATAATATCAGAGACAAGCATGTATAAATGTAAATAATGGTTTTAGTTGGGAATTAATGAAATTTGAAATCGCAATAGGGAAAAAGATTGCTTGGCTGAAAAAATGAACAGAAAATAGTTACAAAAATTCAGGTTCTTTCTTAAAAAAACAAATCTATCATCACAAGAAATATCAATACTTTCCAAATTACATACTCATAGACTTCATATATGAAGAAAAAGCAAAAGGAGCTTTTAAAAGGTTAAGACTTAAACCGGTAGAATATGGTGAAAACATACAACATATTTTTTCAATTTAGAAAAGAGAAGAACAAACATCAATCAGTAAAATCATGTTATTTCAAAACATGTACCTCATTTTTATCCAGCATTATACACATCTACTGACCCTTACCCTCATAAAACCCAGGCAGTTCTAGATATAGTGTCTAGTAGTATAAAAGAAGATGATTACCATCATGTAATCTGTGATGATGAAAGTAATATTGCTGAAATTGAAGACTGTATCAAAGGTCTTAAAAATAACCAAATTCCTGGTAATGATGGTCTCACCAGTTAATTTTACAAAACATTTAGTGAAATACTAGTTCATTCCTCCTTTCTGTAAATAATGAAGCATTACTAAATAAAGAACTTCCTGAATCATTTAAACAAGGTACTATTACACTTACTCCTAAAACCTCATAAAGACAAGCTACAGAAAGATAACTGGTGAACCATTACTTTAATGGCATAATGATAATGAAATATTTGCCTCAATATTTGCCAAAAGACTGAAATCTGGACGACTTGAATTGAAAAGAAGTGTGGAGAATATCAGACAAATATTGTTAACAATAAAATGTGAGGTTTCATTTAAAATTCTACATCAGATATATGCAGTGTGAAGCACACTCTGTAATGATTTAAACTGAATATTAATTATTCATGAGAGTTCTGTGAACTAAGCAAAGAAACCATCTTTCACTTATTCTTTCATTGTATGTATATCAAAATATTTTGGAATGATGTGCAGTTTTTTTCCTAGGAAAATTGGTCAAGTGGTCAAACTCCATGGTAGTAATATTTTATTTTGATTTTGATATTTTATGATGAAGCAAAAATAGCTGATTGAATGAATTGGGAGGCAGGCAGGAAGTAGCATTGCTAGAGGTGTGATCCTGATTCTGAATTCAGATTAAAATCTTCCCTTTCAGCTCTGAAAATCTGTAAATGATGTCAAATGGAGTTTTACCATATTTGGTCTTGTATTCCTGCAGACTCTGGTGGAGTTGTGGGCCAAGCTGTGGGCCAAAGATCTCGATCATCTCGTCCTCGTTCTTCTCGCAGAGGGTGGGGCCATCCATGGTGCAGTAGGCCAGACTCAGGGTGTTTGCATCAAATTTGGTGCTCTCTACTTGGTCGCTGATCCACTCAAGAACATTGTCTGCTGTCCAGCAGTTAGGGGTGATCTGCTTGTACGACTGACCTGCAGAGAGAGAGAACCAGGGATGACTTTATAATCTACAGTGTGTGCATGTTGTGTTTCTAGAAAGATCCCACTGTGCACTAGCTGTAATAATTAGTCATGAGCGTTAAGAGATATACATAATAATGAGACAAACTAGAAATGGTATATTTTCATATAAAATCTTGTTCTGAGTTCCTGCATCGATTTATGTTCATTTGATTTACAGTTATCTTTTCCAAACCATATAAATTATATGTCAGCATTCTTAAAATTTCTGCAACAAGTCAGCCTGCTCAGCAATCTGTTAATGTGGACTAACACCAATCTGCATCATTGCCTGGTCTGAGTTTCTGTTTCTAAGGTCAGGCAAACAAAGCCTAAGCTGTTTCTGCTATAAGATGACAGAATTAATCTGCTTGACAGTTATACTGAGTTAAACATTGGCAGCTTGGTAAATGATTAAGCCAGTAGTGTGTAAATGAGGCCAAAGCAAAGTTCAGTGAGCTAATGGTCACTGGCTAAAGTTTGAAAATAAAGGATCATGTTTACTGTGAGATTAGTTTCAGTTGAAACTTCCCACAAAACCCAGACTGGCTTCAAAGTTCAGGGAAGAAACATTTTTTTCTCTGTTGGTATCACACAGATCACACATACAATTTACAGGAATGACAGAAATGAGTGTCCCTCGTACCACTGATGTTAGAGATGTATGCTGGATTACTAATCTGCAGGGAGTTGATGCTGTGCAGCGCACTGGGCTGCTGTGCCACGACCTCAGGGACAATAGTCTGATACATGGCGAGGTTGGCATGTGTCAGAACACTACTGAGGCACGGTGATGACATGGATGCACTGAGAAACATAGAAGAAGATGCGTGTTTACACACCAGTTCAACAAACAAGAAATTATATTATTTCAAAGAATACATCATACAATGTTCGTCTTTGTTTGATAAGAAAAGTCTGTATCACTACTACACATGACGATAACATTTGAATCAAATATTTACCTGAATGAGTTTTTCCTGAGCACAAGCAGAATATGATGCCAAGGAATGATAGTCTGAGAAAATCCGCAGTGTGAGGGTGTGTTGTGTAATTTCCACTGTGTGTATCTCTGTACCTCTGAGGCAAAGATACACCTGTTGTTGCATTTAACCACCTGTCGAGTTTTATGCTCCTTTAAAGGAGTGGGGCATTGGCTCAGATGAGTTCAGGGGAATTCCACCTGAAACTGGCCACACCTCCATCTCTCCTCCTCCTCCACTTTCCTGAGAACTTGATAAACTAAACAAACCTGCCCTGCTATTTTTGCTAAGCCTTTTTTTCTGTCTTTCACACATCAACTCGGGTTAGGATATGTATTTGTATTTATATTGAATCAGGGAGTTTTTGTAGGTTTGCTAGATAACAGTGCTCTAATCTTTACTCAGCACAAATAAATAATTTGTCAGACCTGCAATAGAGTTTTATTTACTTCAGTAAACATTCAGTGGATATTAGTTAACATCATTTACTGTGATCTTTCTTTTATAATTCTCTTTCATGTCTTTTCACCTTTTTCAATTCTAATGGTCTTCATCTGCAATTAAAGCAAAATAAGAACTTAATTGTAGAACACAACTCATGTCTGACACAACCACTTTATTCTTCAACAAGAATGAAGGTGATGCAAGTTTATAGATAACCACAATTTCTAAAAAATAGCCACATGCAAGTGTGTGATGATGGCAAATATTCAACTATGTGGACAAATAGTTTTATCGGGCAACAGCCAAGCTTGACAAAGTGATAAACCAACTTTGTCAGGCTTATTCCACTACACTTTCACCTCCTGATATGTAACTAGCATGCTCTGTGTCATTACTCTGTACACTATATAACACTGAATCAGAATAGGTTTACATTCACAATTCTAATTACAGTACATTGTATATTCAATAAAGTTATAATGCTCAAAACACACAACTCAATCTCCAAAGACCAATAAATGTGCTTTTGTTTACAGAATGAGATCATTCTGCATGTTTAGTGCTGCAGTCTTGACCCTGACTATGACTCACACAGTTTCTCATTTATCTCTGATTTGAGTCTGTGTGCCAAAACAAATCATAGCAGCCTGGCATCTGTGAGCACAACTTGCTGGTTAAACAATAGCCACACTGCCTTTGGCTCATTTCAGGTCACCCAGCAATGCCAGCAGCTCAGCTGAAGCCAACCCGCTTGTTGACATTAAAGGTGTTGTCATCTGGGTGCTGACATGCTGTTTATCACCGCAGTTATTTTGAGAGAGGCTGGGAGGCTAAATTGAGAAAAATGTGGAGACTGATTTGATCTTAACATGGATGTAGACAGTATACTGCAGGACAAACGCACTGTTTAAAAGATCTGTTCAGCTGTCACGTTGCTCAGCGAGAGCAGTCAGTTTTTGTAATGCAGTAAACCACTACGGTTTATTACAGCTCACTCCTGACACTTTGTGGTGAGTGATCAGCAGCCAAAATGTCTACTACTGTATATCTTCTTTTGTTACTACCATAAACAATGTACTGTTACAATATCAGCAAAATTATTCAGGTAATAGTAACTATACATGATCAAAAGTATGTGGACACCAGGATATTACAGTCACATAATCTGTGGCAAGGCTTTCCACCAGATATTTAGCCTGGCCAAAGGGGTTTGCTCCAATTCAGTACATGTGAGTATTAGGTCCAACTCTGATTTTGGACAGACTCAGGGTCTGTTCAAGGTCATGTCAAAGCTGGATGTGACTGAAGTCAGGTAAGGGCTCAGAATAGGGTCACAGAGCCTCTGAGCTAAGTAAAGTAAAGAAAACTGTGTGAAAAACAAAGTTGCAAGTACATGTAATTATGACCCGGTTTTACCCTAAATCTGACTGGACAATAACCATTTAAATTCTATTTGAATTTAATTTTATTTGTATACCCCCAAATCACAACAAAAGTCATTTCGGGGCACTTCACATATTAAAGACTAGATGCTGTTATTATTATTGAAAAAAAGTGTAACATTTGGTGACAGTGTGTGTGTATGGAGTGGGGGGACAACAGCACAAGGCTGAGGTGGACACCATGCAGAAACCAGGCTGAGCACGTCTATAAGAGGAAAAGGACTGACAAAGAACTAATTATGATGTCTTAACTATGGAGGTCTTACAAGACGCTGACTTATAATAATATGCTGTATGTGTCAGAACAAAAATCCACTTGCAGGACATTGAAAATAGTTTAAGACAGCCAAACCATCACAATGCCAGTGTAGTCAGTCACAATACAGTCATTGCATGATTTAATTAAGATGGTGCCAACAACTATGGCCACCTTGTGTACTCCCTTGCTTGTTGACATGTATGTACATATTGAGAGCCGCTGTACCAGAATCAAATTCCTCGTGTGTCCGACACACCTGGCCAATAAAGTTGATTCTGATTTTGATGATTACTTATTTTGATTATTCCTCAGTTTTAAATTCTCAAAATCAGAGTATGGAAGGCATGTTTAATTACAGTGATTGTGTATGTGTGTGTGTGTATGTTTTATCAACATATGACATAATGATGATATATTTATTACATAAGAAATAGCAGCTATTGGTGCAGTAGTGATACCCTAACCTGAGTAAAGGATTGTCTAACTCTTGTGTAACTGCACTGTCATCAGGAGGAACAGTGGGCGTGGGCAGATGGTGATGTCAGCACACATTTTTCTTACAATATAAAAACACATTCCATTATTGGACTTTGTTTCAGCCAATAAGGACTAGCAAACCTCCACACTTTATCCCAAATTTCACAATATTACTCACACCCAGTTTCCATATCTTGTTGAAGAAAGAGGTTTGTGAAGACACCAGCCTTCATAGCCTGGGGACTAACAGGAAAACAGTTTCATTGCTCATGATTCATGCTGTCTTTTTTCTCTAACCTGCATTACTCTTCTACATTTGTGCTATTGCTAAATGATGGGGCTTCCCACAGATATTATTTGTGTTCATTTATTGAGGCCACAGAACTGTGTCATATCAGAAGATGTGTGTAAACTTTAATGGTTTGTGAGTTATATTTATTATTTGCCCAGTCCCACCAAGGAGGTTATGCTTTGGTTCTGTGTTGGTTGGTTAGCAGGATTACCAACAAAGGACTGGATGGAGCATCACCATACTTAGTACAGGCATTGGTGGGGAACAACCCTAGAAGTGATTAGATTTTGACTGAAAAAAGTCAAAGGTCAAGGTAAAAAAAGAGAAAATCAGAAAAATCTTTTTCTGTTAAAAAAATGATATTTCTGAAAAAGGTTAGCAAAATCATTTGAAATTTACACACACAAATATAAGGTGCTAGTATCTATCACCAGACTTCTGGATCTGACAGCCATTTAAGTGTTGTGCCTTGGTGGAGGTACTGTGCTCTCTGAGTGCTCTTGTTTGTATTAAATTCAGTGTTAACGATTATCTATTCAGCGAAAAAGAAGGGAAAAGAGCGTTATAAAACAACATGCGGTATATACTGTATTATATAATAAACTATATGATGTTTACATGTATTACACATATTTTGAAACTACTATATATGTGCTAAATGGTAGCATAATTACTTGTTCTGAATATACAGCATATATATTTATAGGTAGTGTGAACGCAATATGAACTGTGGTAAATGTGTCCAGCCCACGGGGATAATGAATCATTGTATACAATGTTTTGTTTATTTTATTTATTTTTTAATATAATGTATTATTTGTTAGCCAGCAGAAACTTTCAATTACACAAAAGTAATGGAATAAATCCACTGTTGTTAAGCTGTGGTGTTTAACCATAAGTTGAGGTAAAATAATCACCCTTTTTTCTGTAACATTCTTTATTTAATCACAAACACAATAATACAAATGTACAGTATACAACAAAACTGTATAGAACCCCTGTAATATCACTAAAATGTTACAAATCCTGGCCATTCCGTGTGTGCATTGGTACAGTATTTAGCAAATGTTCAAGAAGAATGAACCCAACAATCAATTTTCAGTTCATGGAACTTTCTGCAAACAGCAACTAAAGGGTATAGGGACATTTGCTGCGGGGTGTTAGCAAACCTTCCTTCACGATTTTACAGGAAAGTTTTCTTATCATTCTGTTTTGTTCTGTTATGCAATACTTGGATAAAGTAATTGGTAAAGTAAGATAATTGCCTGCAAGACTTAGCAAAACTTAATAGAGAAGCATAATAACAATCCTAGGGGAAAGGTTTAACAGCCTTGAGCCTGCCCCGCCACCACTGTGAGATGATGACGTCATGGCAGTTTCATGCGGCCTCATTGTGACAGTCAGCTACACTGAGGGGGTACTATCAGGAAAAGACTGTTTAATCTTCTTATGCTGTCTCCCATAGACTCCAGCTAAATCAAGATTTAAATATGACCATGCATCTCTAAAGCCCCCCAAAACAAACTCTTACTCTCTGCCTATATACATCCATCTATCCATTTTCTTCCACTTATCTGAGATTGGGTTGGGGTGGCAACAGCAAGGTAGTCCAGACGTCCCTCTCACCAGCAATGTTTTCCACCTCCTCTGGCAGGATTCTGGAGCATTCCCGGTCCAGATGAAATATGTAATCTCTCCAGCATGTTCCGGGTCAACTTCAAGTTCTCCTACCAGTTGGACGTACTCTGCACCCTATCTCTAAAGGTAAGCCCAGCCACCCTGTGAAGGAAATTCATTTTGGCTGCTTGTATTCGCAATCTTATTATTTTGGTCACTACCCACAGCTTGTGACCACAGGTGAGGGTTGCAGTGTAGACTGACTGGTAAATTGATAGCTTTGCCTTTTGGCTCAGCTACTTCTTCACCACAATGGTCTGGTACAACATTTGTATTACTGCTGATGCTGTCCCTATCCGCCTGTTAGTCTCACAATCAGTTTTACCCTCACTTGTGAACAAGACCCCAAGATACTTAAACTACGTCACTTGAGGCAGCAACTCATTCCCAACCCAGAGAGAGTAGTCCACCATTTTCAAGCAGAGCACCTGTACACATCTTCATCTGAAATGAACTAAAAAGAGAAAAGCTAAATCTGTCACAGTAA